GGTAGAAAACATGTGCACAATCTGATTAAAACCTCCAGAAATGTACCACAGGAATATGTTCTGTCATAACTATTGGTATGACTGAAACCACACATTTCACATGCAGTGACATAAAAGCAAACGTGGGGTTGCCAGATATGGGTTCATTTATGTGTCCTTTACAGCAATAATTCCAGTCAATGAATAACATAAACATATCATGTAATTGCTCATGTAAACATATCAAAAGCAAACTGGAGACTTTATACTTATTATGCTAAAGTCAAACATGTTATACTTAATTCTTGCTTCTTCATTATGCTACATTTTGAGATTTTAGATTTGCTTCCTTGCTCTGCTAAAGCTATAGATGTTATACTTGCTCCTTTATTAGACTAAAGTTATAGTGTTCTTTTTTTTTTAATCATATTTTAGTGTTGAGCTATTATCTAATCTTCTGTTGTGTGCTTCTCATTCCTACTGTTATGTAACCGGTGATGCAAAACTGAAATTTCTGAAAACTGTGGGACGAATAAAGAAGAGAAGATTGAATTCCATAACAAATGGCATGCTTTTCTTGTGTCTTACATACTGTGCATTCATTAGAGGAAGGAAGAACCTTTTCGTTTTGTTCATTAAGTTGATTAAAATATGCAGACATGAAATACAATTATCCATAACTGATGATGACATAAAAGCTGTACTTTTATCAGGAAAATGAGTCACATCTGTTTCCCAAGTATTATCTGATTTACTGTTAGATATGTCGCATATAAATGTAATCTGTTTTGTATGTTTCTAATAACAAACCCAGAGGACAAAATTACAGTGAGGGAAGAGGCTTGGAAAAGATGAAGGTTAGTGTCCCCGTGTGAACATTTGTCATGGGCTAGAAATAAATCTACATCAACTGCAAAAATCAAGTCGTTCATAATAATTTATGAACACAAACTAAAAACGTAAAGTCCAAAGCAGAGTCCACCGGAACATGTTTCTTTCATGTATGCAAAAGGTCAAATGTTTACTTGTGAGTGGAAAACAGCAGGTTGTGATCCGATTCGTTCCCAGATGAGTAATTACACTTCCAAAAAGAAAAAGCTGTCAAAATGACTGCTCTGGGAGTTCTAGTTTAGTAATGATCAATAATTTACTAAGTTAGCTAACAACTATTTCAAACATTACTTAGTTGTGATGAATTGAATAAGTTGTTACAGCCCTATACATAGCACAAACTGATAGTATATCAGTGCAATGTTTACACAATTCTGAACGTAAAAAATTGAATAAAGCAATTACTCACAAAAATATCTAAAGCTGTAAGAGACTTCTAACTCACGGCGTTTGCCCACAACACTAGCTCAAAGCTGGGTGTGTCGCAAACTTTAAAACTTCTATTGTTCCATAAAAAAATATTTCGCAAATGCCACAGCGAACAATGGCAGTGATCTCACAGCTGTACCACATGTGTACGGCCCCGGCTCTTTATTGCGGGGTGTGGTCTTGTTTGGATTCAGATGAAGTCACATTATTGGACACAGATAAGATTATTACCTCACGCACAACGAGAAGGGTGTGTATCCGAACGAGCTTTGGGGATCTGAAAAGTGACTCATCAAGCATTCTTCAGAGAGATCCAGGGTGCTCCACATTCGCTTGGATTGGGTATTGGTTTGGTGATATCGATAAGACCTACAATTGGAAGTTAAGTAAAGTCGTTGGAAGTGGCTGGTGCCGTGAAAAAGTACTGTAAAAACAACATTTAGCTGCTGTAAATGTTGTCACGCAATTATTCTGTTGTTATTTGCAGGATAAAATATATGTATACTGTATATACTGTATAATTAGGTCGCGGTGCGTGACGGACGCGTCAGTGCCCGTCACTCACCACAACGTGACGATAAACTCAAACGCTTTAAAATTATGTATCAGGTGCCATTGAAACTTCTTTTGTTTTTGCTCGTAGACTTTCAAAAAATTATTCTTCACTTTGAACCTTAATTTGACCCCGCTGAACATGCATGAAAACTTTTGCCCAAATTTTGCCCAAAATTCAGAACCGGCAAAGATTTTACTTTTTTGGTGTTTATTTTTATGGGTTGAAAAAAATGCCAGAACAGACGTACCTTACAAAAGTCAGTTTACATTGCACGTATGGGAGAGGGTCCGAGGTCAAGTCGTAGAGCCACAAAATTCGGTTCACATGTTTCTCTAGTCAAGACATGGAAAAAAAAAAATTATTATGGCCAAGCCCTCTGACAAACAGAAAGCCCATTTAATTGGAAAATGGAAAAATGAAACATAATTTTCATGTCGGTTGGAATGCCTAGAAATTGCTCCACATCATCCCAACACATGTACCATCAAAACGACTTCACAGAATTTTGATCAGTTACTCATTGTTTGAGCAGCGGAGCGGCAAAATGTGACTTTTGTTCCCCATTTTTGACTATAGAAAATTAGCTCCCATTTGCACTTACAAAGTCCAATTTGCACCAAACTGTAATCAATTGTGGGGCGACAGTAGCTCAGTTGGTAGAGCATTGGCCTTAAGCCCAGAAGGTCGTGGGTTCAATTCCCACCTCTGCACCTTCTCCACCGACTCCCACTGATGACTGCTGTCGTTGTGTCCTTGGGCAAGACACTTAACCCCACTTTGCCCAAAGCCCCCACTGAAAGATCAAGGCTATGCTCACACTCAGAGAGCAGCCGTCCTCCTGTGGACTCACCACCTGCAGAGGGTCAGTGAGGGGCTGGTGCTATGAGACTTGGGTGGCATCTCTGACTGCCACCCCCCTGACCCAGAAATGGATTAAAGGGTAGAAAATGGATGGATGGATGGATGTAATCAATTGTTCAACTCTAGGTTCTAGGTGATATATTTCAAATTGTCCCATTAGCGCCCCCTACAGACTTTGTCAAAGTATCACATGGGGAGTTTTTTTTATGTTTGAAATTTTGCACATAATTCAGTTTTTCCCTTTTGATTCAAACAGTCAATGGCACCCAAGTTTTGACCCTGTTGCCATGGTGACGACAAACATTCCCCATTATGTGTCAATGGCTAATGTACACCTCGCACAAACATCGAACAAGCCTCGAGTATTTCATTGATTTGGCTGAAAATCGCTCCACATCAGGGGTCACCAACCTTTTTGAAACCAAGAGCTACTTCTCCGGTACTGATTAATGCGAAGGGCTACCAGTTTGTTACACAATCACATAAATTGCCAGAAAAAGCCAATTTGCTCAATTTACTTTTAACTCTGTTCATATTAATAATTAATGATATTTATCTTTGTGGAAACACTGATCATCTTAACGATTTCTCACAATAAATATATATAGAAACAGATAAATATCAATATGCAACATTTTTCAAATTGAACATTTTCAAACGATCACTTCTTGTGAAATCACAATATCCCATTTTAACCAACTAGCCACTAACATTTTTTAACAAATCATGAATAACTTTGCACCATGTTTATACAAATAATAACTCATGTAAAATACAACAGTCAACTCTCGTCACACGTGATGGTGATCTCACAGGAGTTTAGAAACCAAAGCAGTCCCATTTACGCTGCTACTTTCTCCTCTTCAGAACAAAAACAACAGTGAAGCTGTTTGAGATCATTACATGTGTTTCTACTGTAGGTTTTTGTGACAGTTCTAAACTCATCGTTTCAACTCATTTAACTCTGATGTTGTGAATAAAGACACAGTTCTTGTTGGAAACATAGTTATTATTAAAGTGTATTCAGCACAAACAGATAATCAATAAGTGGTAAATATCTGAGAAAAACACGAACTATAAGTGCAGTAGGAATGCAACAGACGCGATAAGCTACAACGCAAACAAGACAGGAACAGTGCAAAAGAAACAACTGCACAGTTTATAAGTTATATCAGGCTCTGCCATGAGACCAAACTACTTTTCCTTCGGTTCCTTCGAAGCACAAAGCGGTCTGCTCCGAAGTGCCTCGTCCGTGCTCCCTGCAGCCGCTCCATGCTTCCGTCCAAAACACACACACGAACCAATCACAGCGGAGCTCCTCTCACACACGGACCAATCACAGCGGAGCTTGTCTGCGGCGTTGGCCGCGTAGTATTCGAGGGTGCATGGCAGGCTACGTAAGGGCCTTCATGTGATCCACGCGTTGCGCAAGTGACGTCACGTCACCTCCGTAAGCTCCGCGCAACGCACTAGGCTTGAGTGCTACTATTTGAGCTATTTTTAGAACAGGCCAGCGGGCGACTCATCTGGTCCTTACGGGCGACCTGGTGCCCGCGGGCACCGCGTTGGTGACCCCTGCTCCACATCATCTCAACACATCAATAGTTGTTCATAGACTTTTGATTAGTCACATGGTCATCCAATGAAGACTGTATATATAAGCAGGGGTGCACATAACTTTTTCAGTGAGGTTCTCAGATGAGTACCAGGAGATGGTGTTTGGTAGTCACTCCATTTGTTGCGCGGTTCTTAAAATCTTTTAAATGCTAAAGTTTGGATCAGCTCAGATAATCCACTCAATCTAAGTCAAATAATGGTTTATGTGAAGTACGCAATAGCGCTTACTAACTCAAGTTCTAATTTGACATTGTTCTATGGCTACGGGAGCAAGTCTCGTCTTTGAAACAGGCTTTGGACACTGAGAAGAATAAGGTGGAAGCACTGGAGAGAGAGAGACAGGAGCTGACAACAGAGGTGTCAGGTCTGAAGAAAGCTCTGAGTGATTATCAAACTCTGCAGCAGGAGAAGGTCGGCCTACAGTCTACTGTGAAAGACCTGAGGTTAAACCTGAGCCAAGAGAAGAGAGTCACTGAGACCCTCCGCTCAAAATGACCTGAGCCACAAAATACAGGAGGAGGTGGAGACCAGACAGGCTTTGAACCAGAAACTTGAAACAGTGTCAAGTGTTTTCAGGACTGCGATCCAGAGAAGCCAAACTGTCGTGAATTCTGCTGTGGCTCAGAAAGACCAACTTGCAACAACAGTGGACCAAACAAACAAGGAAATGGAGGCACTGAAACTCAAGCACTCAGAGGAGATGAGTTCAGAGCAGCAGCAGAGGAGCCTCCTGCCGAAGAAGATCCTGGAGCTGCAGGAGGCTCTCAGAGAAAAGGAGGAGGAGCAGCAGCAGGAGGCTCTCAAAGCAAAGGAGAAGGAGCAGCAGGAGGCTCTCAAAGCAAAGAAGGAAGAGCTGCAGGAGGCTCTCAACAAAAGGGAGGAGGAGCTCCAGGAGTCTCTCAGAGAGGAGGAGGAACTGCTGGATGTTCTAAGAGAAAAGAAGCGGGAGCAGCAGAAAAGGAGGAAGAGGAGGAGGTGGTTCTGCTGTGGCTTTTAAGCATAAGACGAGGTGTTAGAGGTTCAGGCTCTAACACTGACCAGGACACAGTACGTCTTGGGGACTAGCTCCGGGCCGTGTTTCTCACAGGCCCATGGACCCTGCTGTGAGGGGACAGTAATTAGAAAAGAGCTGCATGAAGCTCTGCAGCGGCTGCAAAGAATCCAAAACACGCCCATCCTCTGGAGAGGAGATCTGGTTATAGTTTGTTAGATAATGGGTTTGTAAATGTTCAATCATAGATATATGTTTGAAAAGTTACATCCTGAAAAAAATCTAGACAACTTTAGAAGAGGATTTAGAGAAACATGTACAGTAGTTCAGGAATTGATTCCCTAAATCGGTTTTGGAGCTAATGTATGCATGTTCTCTTCATGCTCCATACAACAATCGGGTGAAAAAAGAATAGGGACGAATGTTTTGTTTTATCCAGAGTCCAAAAAGAACTTGAAGGTACTACAACGACAGAGACCGCGAAAGAGACCAACGAGACACACATTGAGGAAAATAGTCTTTCTTTACTTGAGTAACAGCTCCTCCTGAGGCTTCAACATAATGAAAATTGAAGCAGCAGGAGGCATTAAACACAATATAGTACCAACACTCCCTCACTCCTCAGGATGGGTCAAATGCAGAGGACACATTCAGATATAATGTGTCAAGTGCATCTAATCCTTCCAAAGCCATGGAGTCATTTTTGGGCATTCACCACTTCGCTATGTGTTTGTATAAACCTTGTGCTTTGACAAATCTAGAAAGCAGTTCTAATAAATCATCAAAGTTACCTTTATTGTTGCATTGAGACTGTTTACATTTCAGATTTGATAAAATATGAACACACTTTATGTTTCTTTTTGCACTGTATGTTGTACTTGTTTTTTCTCCACTGAAGTTAATCAATACCTAATTTAATCTAAACCTCTAAATGTGTGGCCTTTGAACTGAAATATGATATTGTGTTTTGTTATACTGTAATTATCTTTTTTTAGGCCCGAGCCCCGACTGTGGTAAGGACCTATTGCTTTCACAATGGTGAATACGTCAGCACCCGTCACTCACCAAAACGTGACGGTTGCGTGCAAAAACTCCAACGCTTTAATATTATGTATCAGGTGCCATTGAAACCTATTTGTTGTTGCTCGCAGACTTTGGAAAAAATATTCTGCACTTTGAACCTTAATTGTATTATTTTTAAAGACCATTTTGCTTTTTGAGTATATTAGGACAAAAAAATAATATGAATGATTTGTCAACAAACAAAAAATATGCAAATTAAAATAGATTGCAGAAGATTCATCAAATCATTTCATCCATTTCCGTCACTTGACTTCCTATATTCTGCATTATTCCTTTCAGTCATAAACTGGTAAATGCATAACTTCCTCTTAAAAGTGGCGCTGACAGCATGCTATCAAAACCACTGTGGTCAGTCTGTCTGGACCATGAGACCAATACAGCCCAGTGTGACAAACTTCTGATCAACCAAAAGGCCAACAAGTCCAACATAACAGCACGACTGACCGACATGAATACTTAAGCAATAGAATGTAATGAACAATGAACGCACCACTAGCTTTTTTTTTATGTTTGAAATTTTGCACATAATTCAGTTTTTCCCTTTTGATTCAAACAGTCAATATGGCACCCAAGTTTTGACCCTGTTGCCATGGTGACGACAAACATTCCCCATTATGTGTCAATGGCTAATGTACACCTCGCACAAACATCGAACAAGCCTCGAGTATTTCATTGATTTGGCTGAAAATCGCTCCACATCATCTCAACACATCAATAGTTGTTCATAGACTTTTGATTAGTCACATGGTCATCCAATGAAGACTGTATATATAAGCAGGGGTGCACATCACTTTTTCAGTGAGGTTCTCAGATGAGTACCAGGAGATGGTGTTTACCTTGAGTAAATCTAAAAACTTAGTTTGATAGAGATTCAAGAAGAGGCTACTTCCATCTCTGTCCAGAACCAGGAAAATGTCCAGTCTCTCCTGGACCAGATCTCTAGTTTGAAACAGGATCTAAAAGATGAGCAGGAGGACAATGAAGTCCTCCTTAAAGACCAGTGAGGTGGCAGTCGGCCAGCTGGACAAACAGAAAAATGAGCTGAAACGTGAAGTCTCGTCTTTGAAACAGGCTTTGGACACTGAGAAGAATAAGGTGGAAGCACTGGAGAGAGAGAGACAGGAGCTGACAACAGAGGTGTCAGGCCTGAAGAAAGCTCTGAGTGATTATCAAACTCTGCAGCAGGAGAAGGTCGGCCTACAGTCTACTGTGAAAGACCTGAGGTTAAACCTGAGCCAAGAGAAGAGAGTCACTGAGACCCTCCGCTCAAAATTGAATGAGCTGAGCCACAAAATACAGGAGGAGGTGGAGACAAGACAGGCTTTGAACCAGAAACTTGAAACAGTGTCAAGTGTTTTCAGGACTGCGATCCAGAGAAGCCAAACTGTCATGAATTCTGCTGTGGCTCAGAAAGACCATCTTGCAACAACAGTGGACCAAACAAACAAGGAAATGGAGGCACTGAAACTCAAGCACTCAGAGAAGATGAGTTCAGAGCAGCAGCAGAGGAGCCTCCTGCCAAAGAAGATCCTGGAACTGCAGGAGGCTCTCAGAGAAAAGGAGGAGGAGCAGCAGCAGGAGGCTCTCAAAGCAAAGGAGAAGGAGCAGCAGGAGGCTCTCAAAGCAAAGAAGGAAGAGCTACAGGAGGCTCTCAAAAAAAGGGAGGAGGAGCTCCAGGAGTCTCTCAGAGAGGAGGAGGAACTGCTGGATGTTCTAAGAGAAAAGAAGCGGGAGCAGCAGAAAAGGAGGAAGAGGAGGAGGTGGTTCTGCTGTGGCTTTTAAGCATAAGACGAGGTGTTAGAGGTCCAGGCTCTAACACTGACCAGGACACAGTACGTCCTGGGGACTCGCTCCGGGCCATGTTTCTCACAGGCCCATGGACCCTGCTGTGATGGGACAGTAATTAGAAAAGAGCTGCATGAAGTTCTGCAGCGGCTGCAAATAATCCAAAACACGCCCATCCTCTGGAGAGAAGAGATCTGTTTATAGTTTGTTAGATAATGGGTTTGTAAATGTTCAATCATAGATATATGTTTGAAAAGTTACATCCTGAAAAAATCTAGACAACTTTAGAAGAGGATTTAGAGAAACATGTACAGTAGTTCAGGAATTGATTCCCTAAATCGGTTTTGGAGCTAATGTATGCATGTTCTCTTCATGCTCCATACAACAATCGGGTGAAAAAAGAATAGGGACGAATGTTTTGTTTTATCCAGAGTCCAAAAACACCTTCCAGAGGTGAAGAACTTGAAGGTACTACAACGACAGAGACCGCGAAAGAGACCAACGAGACACACATTGAGGAAAATAGTCTTTCTTTACTTGAGTAACAGCTCCTCCTGAGGCTTCAACATAATGAAAATTGAAGCAGCAGGAGGCATTAAACACAATATAGTACCAACGCTCCCTCACTCCTCAGGATGGGTCAAATGCAGAGGACACATTCAGATATAATGTGTCAAGTGCATCTAATCCTTCCAAAGCCATAAAGTCATTTTTGGGCATTCACCACTTCGCTATGTGTTTGTATAAACCTTGTGCTTTGACAAATCTAGAAAGTAGTTCTAATAAATCATCAAAGTTACCTTTATTGTCGCATTGAGACTGTTTACATTTCAGATTTGATAAAATATGAACACACTTTATGTTTCTTTTGGCACTGTATGTTGTACTTGTTTTTCTCCACTGAAGTCAATACCTAATTTAATCTAAACCTCTAAATGTGTGGCCTTTGAACTGAAATATGATATTGTGTTTTGTTATACTGTAATTATCTTTTTTTAGGCCCGAGCCCCGACTGTGGTAAGGACCTATTGCTTTCACAATGGTGAATACGTCAGCGCCCGTCACTCACCAAAACGTGACGATTGCGTGCAAAAACTCCAACGCTTTAATATTATGTATCAGGTGCCATTGAAACCTATATTGTTGTTGCTCGCAGACTTTCGAAAAAATATTCTGCACTTTGAACCTTAATTGTATTTTTTTTAAGACTATTTTGCTTTTTGAGTATATTAGGACAAAAAATAATATGAATGATTTGTCAACAAACAAAAAATATGCAAATTAAAATAGATTTCAGAAGATACTCATCCATTTCCGTCACTTGACTTCCTATATTCTGCATTATTCCTTTCAGTCATAAACTGGTAAATGCATAACTTCCTCTTAAAATTGGCGCTGACAGCATGCTATCAAAACCACTGTGGTCAGTCTGTCTGGACCATGAGACCAATACAGCCCAGTGTGACAAACTTCTGATCAACCAAAAGGCCAACAAGTCCAACATAACAGCACGACTGACCGACATGAATACTTAAGCAATAGAATGTAATGAACAATGAACGCACTACTAGCTTTCATGGCCAAGTACTAGAGACACTTTCCCTTAGCAATAATTTTATGTCACAAATCTCCTATTTCAATTCGGGTAGTCAAAAGTATTGAAAAGCAGATGTCATTTAATGTACTAAAACCCTTTGACCTGTCCTGCTCCACCCAGAGGCTACTCCACCTCTGCTGCTGTGACCCGTCCTGCTCCACCCAGAGGCTACTCCACCTCTGCTGCTATGACCCATCCTGCTGTGACCCGTCCTGCTCCACCCAGAGGCTACTCCACCTCTGCTGCTATGACCCATCCTGCTGTGACCCGTCCTGCTCCACCCAGAGGCTACTCCACCTCTGCTGCTTTGACCCATCCTGCTCCACCCAGAGGCTACTCCACCTCTGCTGCTTTGACCCGTCCTGCTCCACCCAGAGGCTACTCCACCTCTGCTGCTGTGACCCGTCCTGCTCCACCCAGAAGCTACTCCACCTCTGCTGCTGTGACCTAAAGGGCTGTTGCTGATTATTACTATTATTATGTTATCAGAATGATCAATTTTATTTTTGCTGCTATGGACACCTGAATTTCCCCTACAGGGATCAATGAAGTATCTATCTATCTATCTAAAACAATTTTTTAAATTAGATACTTGAGCATTTTAAATGGTTGCCATCTTTCACCGACTGTTAAAAAGGCTTTAATCTAATGAAGTGCGTTACAGAATATTTTTTGTCTTTTGATGTTTGGCATCCTGAATAGCTTGGATACCAGCAGCTCCCCATCACCACTTTCCATTTAGAACTGGCAACAAAAGCTCTGGCGTCATGACATGCACTATTATTATTGATGAAAATACTCAATAACTGTGGCAAAGCGTTAAAGTCCCGGCCCTAATTATAACGATTTATAATTAACACTTATTTCTTTCACATTTTAAAAGCTACAACGCACCGAAAGTGAGGAGTGAGATGGTTACCTGCCCTGACTGCCACACACAGATCTGACCTTCACAGTACAGGAATGGCAGGAATGCAGAGGCTTGGTCACACTGGAGGAGGAGGGGGTGGACGTCAGAGAGATACAGATGTTTCGAGGACCCTTCCCTTGTGATGGATGTCAGAGCCCGCGCCGGGGAACATAAAGCCGCTATCTCCAGGGCAGACCCATACGTCTCCGCTCCTGAAGTTTAGTTTAGGTTTAACTCCATAGGTCAAAGAGTCAGCAACAACCAACCTCTCCCCAAACTTCACTTTCAACTCGTGATGGATATCTTCAGCTCCATCCAAAGGCGTACTATGACTGCCAGGATAAGCGTGTTTATTAGTCTAGGCGCGCTGGTCTTCCTGGTTACTGAGGCAACCGCCAAGATCCTGGGAAGCATCCGAGTGTTTGGAGAGGTGCAGCGTCATAGCCATGGTGACAAATAGACGTACTCTTAGCAGGGACAGTAAATTACAGTATTGTGATGTTTGCGTAGTCCAGAGAGGCATTAAGTGTGGAGTATTTGGAGAGCACCCTGGACTGGTTGAGCTGGGAGCTTTCAGGGTGGCCTCAGCAAACAAATTTTATGGCCTAGCGTCTTTATCGTTTCTTCAAAGACCACAAAGATTGTATTCAACCACATACAATTAGTGCTCCGGCCCAACATATTGGTTAGTAAATAATTGGCCATGATTGGCTTTTGAAAGCTAATCTATAATGGACGGATGTGGAATTTACTGCAAGTGGTTGGGTATGGAAGGTAAGGGATTTATGCAAAAACTATGGCATACAACTATAGAAGAAAAATGAGCCATATTCTTGGAACATCTTTCCAAAATTCTCTTGAGCTAAATCCTTCAAATGTTGTTCGTTATTCTTGTACATTGGTAAATTGTATTAGAAGCCTATACTTCAGTCATAGTAAAAAAGCATTTAGAACTTATTTTAACTGTTCTGTATGTGCACTGCAACATCAACATTTCCCTGGGGAGTTTTTCATTAACCTTTCCTTTCATCTTGTAAACATGCACCTAACTTCACTTGGCTGAGTTACAAGTAATGGCAATGACAAACAAAGGAGGGCAGGACTTTTTTCTGAAAAATTCTTGGTTTACCCTGAGCCCACAAATTTATTGAAATATCTGACATAAATATTGAGATATAAAAATGTATCCATATTTTTCAGCCCTACTGAAGAGGCAAGAGGCGAGAATGTCTTGCACCAAACTGAGCAACAAAGCAATAACCTCAATCACAAGACGCCAATACCAGACCACTTCAGAAAAAGCAGGTCACCATCAGGTTAGTTGAGGAATGCACCTATTTTAGCAAAGACAAGGAACTAATTTACAAATTCAAAAGTCAACATTAGATATTACGGATAATTTCATTAAAGCAGCATGAAAGCGCGTGGTCCAGTGAAGTGCAAATGACTTCACACAGACCTGCAGCATCAAAGCACCCCCGCGGTCTGTGGCAGTGGGTCACAGGTAAACACCGGTCACACTTTCTCCCCCAATACACAAATAAACTCAGGCAGCTCCAAAAAGGATCACACCAACATTAGCAGCTGGGACTCCATTTGGTTTGTAGGTAGAGCTCTGGAAAACAAATTCATGGGATGGCTAAGTAATTAGGGGACAATAACAACTGAAGGTAGAAGAAAGGAGATACATGTTGAAATTATGTATCTACACTGAGATGTACTTTTGACAACTGTTAATCCCAAAACATAGCTCGAATTAGAAGCAAATAAGACAGAGATGACTTCACAGTCCATCAAATGCAACAATTAGTCGACATCAACGGGGCTTGGCAATTCTCTGATAAATGTTTACAGTATGTGATCCAAACTGAACTCTCAAAACTTCAACTTATTGAAACAAAAACTCTTTGGTGGGAATAATTAGAAACGGATTGAACATGTCAATTGAGAGTTTTGCCTTGAATATCCAAGTAGATATTTTGTCTTAAAGATTTTGGTGAATTTTGCTCCATATCTAATTTTTGGCCGTGGAAATACACATAACTTATTTCCAGGGTGAAAACACACAGTCAGGCAGGTCCTGTGTGTTTGTCAAAAAAAAAACCTAAAACCATCAAATTCCCTTGGATTGTGCCATCAACATATGTATATGCAATTATTATATGCTGTTACCTTTTCTGGAGTTTGATGGGCCCCCGGAAAATGGATAATTCAACTCTATACCCACCAAAGAGGAGTCAGTACCTCTTGTTTACAAGATTTCTCAATTTTGGACATGCCAGGCCGCCCCCAGGTAAAACTGATCAATCATTTAAATCTAGATCATCCCTGGGGGCTTTGGAACTTGTGTTTATACTACTTTTGGCTGGTGACATTGAAATAAATCCTGGTCCAGGCCTAGATGGACAACAGCAAGCAGGCCCAACAACTGAGCTAATCTGGCTACAACCACAGCTACCCTGGTTCTTACCTCAGTTGCCTGGGCTACAGCTAACCAGGCCTCCACCACCTGGGCTGCAGCTACCTGGGCCTCCACCACCTGGGCTCCAGCTACCTGGGCCTCCACCACCTGGGCTACAGCTACCCGGGCCTCCACCACCTGGGCTACAGCTATTCGGGCCTCCACCACCTGGGCTACAGCTACCTGGGCCTCCACCACCTGGGCTACAGCTACCTGGGCCTCCACCACCTGGGCTACAGCTACCCGGGCCTCCACCACCTGGGCTACAGCTATTCGGGCCTCCACCACCTGGGCTACAGCTATTCGGGCCTCCACCACCTGGGCTCCAACTACTCGGGCCTCCACCACCTGGGCTACATCTTCCCGGGCCTCCACCACCTGGGCTACATCTTCCCGGGCCTCCACCACCTGGGCTGCAGCTACCCGGGCCTCCACCACCTGGGCTGCAGTTACCTGGGCCTCCACTACCTGGGCTACAGCTACCCGGGCCTCCACCACCCGGGCTACAGCTAACCGGGCCTCCTCCACCTGGGGCACAGGTGACTGACCCTCCATTACAAAAAAAGGTCAGAAATCCCATTTTCCAAAAACATCGGACTTCTAAGATATTTCACACACTTAATCAGGCAAAGATTATCTGGGATCCGCAAGCCAAACCAAAAGGCTTATTAGGTGGACACCTGAATATACGGAGTATGGCACCTAAACATGAAGAGCTTCAACATCTGCTCTGCAACTCGAACATTGACTTTCTGGGGCTTTCCGAAACCTGGTTAACACCCAACTTTCCAGACTCAGTGGTAACTATGCCGGAGTATAATGTCTACAGGAATGATAGGGAACATGGGAGGGGTGGAGGTGTTCTACTCTATGTTAAAAGCGCTCTAAAATGTAGACGAATAAATTGGCCGCAAGACATCCAGCTTGAGTGTGTTGGTGTAGAACTCTCTCTCTCCCCTGCAATGAATTTCATTATAATTTGTCTATATCGTAAACCATCTGCTAAATTGGACTTCTATGACAAGTTAAAACTTCTTCTTGATCATTTGGATATAAACAAAGAAATCATAATTATTGGAGATTTCAATATAAACTGGAATGATAAGAAAGTTCGAAAAAACCTGAAACAACTCACTGAACATTCTAATTTTAACCAGTTAATAGAACAACCTACTCGAATAACTTCACATTCAAAAACATTGATAGACTTGCTCTTTGTAAATAAACCTGAAAGAATCATCAAAACTTTTAACTTTGTGACTGGGTTGTCTGATCACAATGCTATCTTCTTCTCAAGAAAACTTTCAAAAAAACGTTTTGAAGACTCATATAGGCCAAATGTAAAAGACTCACCGAAAACCATTATTCCCAGAAGATCATTACCAAATCTTGTAGTAGCCTTGCAATGTACCGATTGGAACGAAATTACTCAAAGTGAGGATGTTGAAATTAGTACCTGTCTATTTCACAAGAAAATTAATGAAGTATTGTTAAACTTTACCAAAAAAGAAAGCCATAACAAAAAAAAGAGAAATCTATTACCATGGATAAATGACGAATGTAAGAAACTGATGAGAGACAGAGATAAGCAATTAAAGAAATATATCAAATCCTGCCTCATCACAGATAGGTATACATTTACCTCACTGAGAAATAAGGTTATTCAAAAAATGCGGAAAGCCAAAGCAACATTTTTTATGAATATTCTTTCTGAAGCAAATGGAAATCCCAAGAAGATCTGGCAAAATCTAAATAAATTAGCTGGGAAAGATGATAAAGCAAAACAGCAAGGAATTGAGCTAAAAATAAACAACATTTCTGTGTCGAATCCAGATATACTGACAAATGAATTTAATAACTATTTTGTCAATTCTGTCAGGGAAATAAGTGAGTTATTTGCATCCTCTGATTTGAAAACAAGGTCAATTGATCCCACACAGCCTGTCTTTCTTTTACGTGAAATAACAGGGCTAGAAGTTTCCAAAATTATTGGTTCACTAAAAAATTCAAAAGCCAAAGACATTCATGGTTTGGACACTCATCTTCTAAAATTATGCAAAGAGTCTTTTATTGCACCAATAACACAAATGGTTAATTTGTCACTCAATCAGGGAGTTGTTCCATCCTCCTGGAAACTGGCCACAGTCGCTCCAATTTTTAAATCTGGTGACAGATCGCAAATATCCAATTATCGACCAATTTCTATACTTCCAGTTGTTTCCAAGATTGTTGAGAGATGGGTAGCAAATATTTTAAATGAACATCTGAACAATAGTTCATCTAGCTTGCATGCCATGCAATTTGGTTTTAGAGCAAACCATTCCACTGAATCAGCAAACAGCTTCTTTATAGAAAATGTAAAAAGTAAATTGGATATATATCCCTGTGTTGGTGCAGTGTTCCTTGATCTTAAAAAGGCATTTGACACTGTCAGCCATGAAATTCTGATAGCAAAATTAACAGACTTCAACTTCTCGCCAGAGGCCATTCAATGGATGAAATCATATTTAGCTTCACGAAAACAATGTGTACATATTGGCAGTGTAAAGTCATCAATCCAGGATGTCCCAGTCGGTGTGCCGCAAGGATCAATACTTGGCCCCCTATTATTCTCACTGTACATAAATGATCTTCCCAAAACATGTACTAATGTGAGTTTTCAAATGTATGCAGATGATGCTGTAATATATACTCATGCAAGGAGCGTTAAGGAAGCAGCTTCCATTCTGACCGCAGCCATGGAACAAGTAAATGACTGGCTATTTAAATCATGCTTGCTTCTAAATTCTAAAAAAACGGTCTGTATGATGTTCTCCAAGCAATCAAAAGTGATGAAAAATTCTGGAGTTTTCTTGAGAGGGGAAGAACTACAACTTGTCACAGAATTCAAGTATCTGGGTCTGACACTCGATTCCACTCTATCTTTTAAAGATCATATAAAAAAACTGGCCAACACCATTAAATTCAACCTTAAAATTTTTAAACAAATCAGGTCTTTTTTAACACTTAATGCAGCCAGAATGTTTCTCCATTCAATGATTTTATCCCATGTTGAATATTGCATCACAAGTTGGTCTCTCACCTCTGTAACCAATTTGAAAATAATTGAATCTCTGTATAAGAAATCTCTTAAAGTTTTTGACAGAAAACCCAATTCATTTCATACATGCAATATTTTAAACAAGCACAATCTTTTAAATTTTGAAAGTTTTATCAACTTTAAGTATGTATGCTTCATCTACAAAGCGCTACATGGACTAGCCCCACCTCCTGTATCGGCCCTATTCAAACCTAGGACTTCAAGTGGCCTGAGGACTAGGGCCTCCTCCAGAGGAGACTGTGAGGTCCCCTTCAGAAAAACTACATTTGGACAGAACACTCTCTCTGTGAGGGCCATGAACATCTGGAACAGTCTCCCTCTGCACTTACGGGAGAGTCCTACACTGGTCACCTTTAAAACTCAAATCAAACAATGGATTAAGAGAAATCAGTCATGTGACCACTAGATTCTGAACTATTCTCTGTGCTAGTTGTATTATAGTGTTATTTTGTATTTTATTGTATTGTATTTCGTTATGTATTTTCCTGCCTAGGGACTACGGATGAAAACTAGCTTTGTAGCTATAATCCGGCATATTTACATTTGTTTTATACTGATGTTCATTAATGTGCATTGTCCCTATCAAATAAATCCATCCATCCATCCATTTTCTACCCTTTAATCCATTTCTGGGTCAGGGGGGTGGCAATCAGAGATGCCACCCAAGTCTCATAGCACCAGCCCCTCACTGACCCTCTGCAGGTGGTGAGTCCACAGGAGGACGGCTGCTCTCTGAGTGTGAGCATAGCCTTGATCTTTCAGTGGGGGCTTTGGGCAAAGTGGGGTTAAGTGTCTTGCCCAAGGACACAACGACAGCAGTCATCAGTGGGAGTCGGTGGAGAAGGTGCAGAGGTGGGAATTGAACCCACGACCTTCTGGCCTTAAGGCCAATGCTCTACCAACTGAGCTACTGTCGCACCTATCAAATAAATAAATAAAAAAAAAAAAAAGAAAACATTGACTTTATATAGACAGCCATACAATCAACCAATACTTAGGTAAATGTTTTTTTGTTTTGTTTTTATTAACCAAGTTTTTCTCCATTGCAATATCTAGGCATTCTTAGTAAGAATATTTTATGTATTGGATTTCTTCATTATAAAAAAAAACAAAATAATACATTCTGAGACTGATTTATCTCTAAATGTGTTGATCCTGTTAAAAAAACCTACTCACACTAAACATTTGTATGGCTCACATAAATACAATTTTATGTAGGAGACTTTTTTGGCTCTCTTGGCTAAAAAGGTTCCCGACATGTGACTAAACGCGTACTCTCCTCAACTTCAGCTCAACTTCTACTTGCCTTTCACCTTGTTAATTCAAAACTTCAACATAACCTAATTTATCAAAGTCATAACTTTTGCACACGATCTATCATGTGGTTCTTTCTGCCACATTCTCAGACCTTCCTCAAATCATAAACAGCGGAAAAGTCCACCAGTTCATAAAATAGTTGTCCAATGTTTGCTGTGTCCAGAACTCAGCACGGGGTATTGACTCTCGTCGTAGTATGCAGCGTCAAGGCGTGTACTTAGGGGCCAGTCCAAAACCACTAGAAATATTTGAGCACTATTAATAAGCAGGATTTGTACTTTTCACCATAATACAGAGAATCCTACCACTGCTAATGGTCTCATTCCAGCCCAGAGTTCTTCTTGTGCATACAAAGATGGCTCTGTTAGAAAAATAAAGACGGAATAACACCGGACTATCCTCAATTTAACACCATTTAAAGGAAAACAGTTCCAGGTCAGGGATAGGACTGGGAAGCCAAGAGATACATGTACAAGATAAAGTGTATTTCTTGCAGGTTTGGTCACTAACTTAACCTGGGGCCCATAGTGTAAATCAAACCAAAATAAGTGTGTCATCAATCAGATTTAGAAAAGTACCCATAGAATACATACACAGTAATCAGAGGGCTTTAGGATTGACCTGGAATTACCATTGACTTCCATAGATAACTTGTTTAACAGATTTATAATGAGAAAAACCCTCAAACAGCTCTGTTTTATAAGCAGGCAGCTCATAGCGTGCAACAACCATGGATCTGCGCCGGAGTCAAGCCCATTCAAACTTTGTTAAAGACACATGTGGAAGTTTCCCCTCCTTACGCACGCTTTTGCAGACATTTTACAATATGCTGAATCCTGGACGAATCCCAACCGTAACGCAACAACTCATTTCACTCGCGGGGCCTCTTGAGATAAACCTGTCATTACGCACAATAAACAGCGCGCCTTATATCCAAATAACGGTTCAGGGACGCGCAGAAGGCGGAGGTCTGCTTATGCCATCAACGCAGTTTTATCTGCAGCCGGTGCCCTCCGTGTGCGTCTACGTGGCAGGTATATTTGGATCAGCAAATTTGATTCTCTTTGCAACAGAAATAATAGTATCCTAAAGCTGGGATAGCTTATTTGTTTACATAAATAACTTACAAACATTTCGC